GAATCGCGTGTTCGAAAATCTTGCAAAACCTTCTCTGTAGAGCCAGGCACACATTGGAGCATACTGAGGGGTAAATGGTCAGCTTTCAGAGATAATCTTCACGGGCAAATGGGCTCTGTCTATCTTTGTAAAACTACGTTACATTCGAAGCAATAATCATGTATTTTTAGTACTTTAGATAAACACTTCACCATTTAAGGGCACATTTAAGGGGAGCGAAGCTTTCTTAAGGTATAAACATTCCCATTTTGCACAAGGGTATTAAATGCGTAACATAATCGTACGTAGTAAATTTTGAAATAAAAGGTGACAGACCCGGGGGGTACTTGGGTTAATTTTTGTTTATAGTCTATTCTGTGGCCAATTATAGACCCCATCTTTGTCACTTTTGGGCAAATATGTAATTTTCGCGATCCCAACTTAGTCACTTTCTGTTTATGTAGCTTCCTTTTCATCTACAGTACAAACATTCTGGTACGTTTGCTGACCGTAAATATGAAGAACTGTCTTACCCCAAAAATCCGAAAAAATGCGACCCTATTCTGGTAACTCTATTGAAAATGCGACCCCATTATAGTCAATCCAGTCGTGAAAATGCGACCCCATCCAGCGGCTCATCCCCATTTGCCTCTTATAAGGAAGTATCCCCCCCGGGAGGGTGACAGAGAATAGGACCTTCAGAGAGGTGAAACGTTCTACTTTTTGTTTCATCTAAAAATTAAAAGAGAGAGCGTTTCACAGCGGATTAAGGGGAAGCATAAACTCAGAAAAACCTTAAACAAAAATTACAAATATCAACAAGCCAGTGTTATCTAAAGAAGGTATGACACTTACTGTCGTTACGAGGACATACACTCTTAAATCGAATTTTCTACCTACGAATCATAAATACACAGAGAAATGAATAAATTACAAAATGGTTCTTCGTCTACCATTCTGAATTGAAGGCAAATTGAGAAATTCCGGTTTTAAAAGTGAAGGAAAAAACAAAGTACTGGGGGAAAAATTAAAAAATTAACATTTCTATTCTATACCCTAATTTTATATACGTTGCCCCATTTTCCTGCTTTTAACACAGTTTACCTTACACTCATTTTGTACATATATAGCTCCACGCGGAATATTTTCTTATCCCAGATGCTGCCGATGATTGGCGAAAGCTTGGATTTCATTTTTATTCTTTAAAAACAGCAGTTTAAGGCGTTAAATGTTTAGTGTTGTAACGAATGGTCCAGCCTATACATTATATCAAGGGCGCTCGTCGAGAATTAACTTCTAGTTTTGATGATTTTGGGTCTAAACTTTAATTTCAACTCAACTTTAGGTTACTGATCGAAGCATCCAACTGTAGCACCCAGGACAAGACATTACGTCCAGATTCCTTAGAAAAAGGGCAGCAAAGATTTCTCTCATTGAAAATGATTTAATTGAGCCCAGATCAATGGTCGAATTGTACGCATTTTAGGCATCACACGGATGAATGGTTACTGCATTTATATATTTGCAGGAGCGACTATCACTATTCATCTGTCCCCTGACTATCTTGAAAGGGGCGTTTGGGTTAAAACTAGAACAATTGGGGGGAAAAAAAACGATCGCATTAGCCATTTTCAACCTTCAGAGTGAGAATGGGTAAACGTTGTGTCGAACTACATTGTGGGACACTTGGGGTAAGTACCACTTCTTTCATTGACGATTACGCAGCTGCGCGGGAAACTGGAGCAGCATTTGTCCCGAAAACAATCCCATGGTGCAATTTGACACAACATCGACCCAGTTCCTACCGCAATTTCCAATTGGTCAACAAGCCTGGTACAGACTCACCTCCTATTAAATATGGATCTTCTACATAGCGTTGTACAACGTACGCCTCTGGAGGCTCTTTGTCGTCCTTCTAAAAGCATATCATAAATGTGACTTCAAATGTTCTGCAGTACAGCATGTCAAATGGAGAAAGACGAAAAACCCCCGTAACTCGAACTTCCCTTGGTCAAAATTTACCCCGACAACTCAAATTATGGTTCTTGCAACTCGAAGCAGATGACATGCCATTAGCTATTCTTGACATTTGAAAATTGATGCCATCATAATGCTTTGAGAATGGACACAAATCATAAAACGAGGAATTTCTCCAGAAAGAAATAACTGAAACTTAAAACCAACGTCAAACAGTGAGGTGCTATATTGTGAGGTTGCCATGGCAACATTCTTGGCTTTAGTCTCTTTTAGCTTTAAACCAAATATTACCATTTGCGTCTCTATAACCAGAGAAAGAACTACCCGTTCCAAACATGTACAGTGTCCATGTTGCATTTAGTTTACTCATTAACCATTAAGGGTGGCCACAGGTTTGTAAAAAATGGAGAATGACATTGTCATTTTAGCAAGAACGAGGCCTTGTAATCAGGTATAAATGCAAGTTTCAATTATCTTAACGCCCTCTCTGCAGACGTATTCTTCGTTTTATGATTTGTCTCTATTCTTAAAGCGTTCACAAGATTTCAAATAAGTTGAACATCTCTAAAACGGGTGAAGTCAAAAAAATAAAGAATACAGCATTCTTCTTTATTCTTGTACGAAACTGTAAAAAAAATAAATGTAAATATGGCCCACGGATATGTTCCGCTTTTACAGCATGAGATTCGAACCAACTTACTCTGTCATCTGACATAGCTGCACGATAAGGGTCCTCCTAAAAAGTTAAACAAGAAAAGAAAGTTAAAGATCGACAATATTGTTTCCATTTAGCCACTTCATTTAATGATTTTTAATTTAAAAATCAGGATTTTGTCCGAGACAAGAATGACCACGTGGAAAAAGGCCGTTTTTCACCCTCAAGCTGAAAGATAAAGCCACTACAGATCTTTTAAAGCATCACAAAAATGTTTTCGCGCCTTTTACGCGCCATTTTACATGCCAAGAAAGGGATGACTTGATGAAACTTTTCTCAGAGCAAAACAGGTGATAAAAGATCACACGTACACGTGGTATGGGCACGTTTTAAAGCAGTGGCGGATCTAGATATTTCGGGGACGGGTAAGAGCCACCCTCCTCCCCTAATTTTAGATGAAACCGAGGCTCAGAAAGTCCCTTCTCCCTGCTTATCTCGAGATTTGGATGTACCCTAGTAAAGTGTATCACTTTCTATCTTATTTACTATCTATTTTGTTTAATAGACCTCTTACGCTTGTAGGTTTTGTTTTCCCAATGAAGGTCTTCAGGGAAATTTGCCTCTTCGTCTTTTCATAAATTATGCGTGTATATGCACGGAAATAAGATGATGTTTCAATGAAACAGTTCCCTAGAGTATTATCACATGACCTACATTGGGAAAACAAAACATACAAGCCTATAATAATTTATAATTGTTGAAATACCTTTCTCCAATCCATAATGTCCTTAAGTTTCCTAAACAGGAAAATCCCCTTTCCTTGAGACTTGCCGACCTGATATATCAGCAAAATCATCAAGGTAAGATTAATAATAGAAAGCATTACATCCGATTACAAGTACAGAATAAGTATGAGTACTTAGAACAATTTTAAGGCAATTTCAAGCAGCGAAAATTATGGCCTTCGTCACACGTTCTTCGGGGAGAATTGCGTGAAGAGCCAAAAGAACGCCTGCGTGGTAGGGTACGAGAATTATTGTTTGTTTTTTTGGTTTTCACGTTAAAATTTCCTCGCCAACAGCTCTAGTTTGAATAGTCAACTTTTCTACGGCATTGCAAATTACAACATGAACATGAAAGTTTTAACAGTCACAAATGTAAAGAATGGATTTGTAAGTAGGTGGAAAAAATGAAGGTACTTATTCACTTAAACTCACAGGCTTCATGATCCACGTTGTGCCCGGGTTCCTTTTGAACTCCTCTACAAATATGTGGTATTCCATCTAAGAGCATGAAATTAAATGTTGCAAGTAAAGCTAATAATACTGTATATGAGGGAAAAGCAATTCGGCAGTCAGTATCCAGTGATGAAAGCAGTACTATAAAAAAAAATTACCTTGTGGTGCACCAGCCTGGAGGGGAGGGAAGGGGAAGAGAGGGGAGGTGAGAGGAGGGGGTTACCACAGATTTACCAGCCAAATGGGTCACTTGACGTCTATTACCACAAGCCAAATGAGTCAATTACCTTCTAAAAAGCCTAGAACTTCACAAACATGCAAACCTCTTCATAAAATCAAAACGTCAAGACTCTTCACCGGCTTGTCTAAGACTGTTAAAATTCGGGGGGCAGGTTCTCCCCTCTTCCCTCTCCCAAAAATGTTGAATCAGAAAGAAATGCATGAAACAGTTTTATGACCAAGAAATAAAATAAGCCATTGAAAAGTGGTTTATGAAGGACTGGTTATCGTCACACCAAGTATTGTGCCTCCACACTTGATGCTACACTTCTAACATAACAGATTATTGATACATTTCGCTAAACGAGAAAAAGGTGAGTAGTGAACATGGCGAAGAGAACGGTTATCAATTAAGAGGGGAGAGTAATTTTGTTTTTGCTTTGGTTTACATTGCTGCGCCATGTGATTGGCTAGGAAGTCTCGCAAAAGTGTCTAAACCAATCCATAGTATGAACCATTTATGAACCATAACCAATTGCACCGTGCGCACACGCGTCTGTTTTCCCGCGCTTGGAGTCGGGTACAACGTTAACTTCGTAATCTGATTGGTTCATTTGATTGTGCGTGCACATTATGATTGGTTTTCAGGTTTCAAATCTAGTAGATTATTTAATCACTAGACTACAAAAAAAAAACTTAGAAACTTACCGGAAGTTCAAATGTAGTCGGAAAAAAGTCGCACCTAGTATAAACAATAGTTAAGGAACGCAAAAAAAAAGGAACTAAAAGATCAAAGTAAGACTACGTATTTAACTTCAGGAAGTTATAGCCGACAAGCTGCAAGAACGACAGAATGCAAGATTCTGCAAGAAACGCACTGAATGAATGATATAAGAAAGCGGTTAAGCACGAAACAGTTCTTGACACAATTCCATATTACTGACACATGGAAAACTCAAAGTGGACGAAAAAAATACATCACTATTGATGTTAAAACACGAAGAAGCTCAAAACAAAAGAGCGATTCACGTAAAATTGACGGCCTTAAATAACAATAATAATTTTTTATTTTTGACTAAGGAAATTACCATCAGGATGCATTAATTTGCAATTTTAAGTCTGCCGTCAATTTAAGATGGACTTCAGATATTGAAACATCTTTTACGTTTCCCTTTAAAATATTGTCTTTGCTTTTGAAACAAAGATATTTTATAGTATTGCTGCTTGTATTGGCTTTGTACCCTACCTTCAGTGTACTTTGGCCGTGATTAAATCTATAGTAACTTTGCAAATAATCTCTAGGATACGTTTAACTACCGCAAGCTCGTGGAGATAACAAATTCAAAACTATCACTTTTGACAAGTTCACTGACTCCACGGTGGCATGCCGCCCATCGGCATTCATTTATTTACAAAACACAAATAAAAGGTTTGTAAATTTTCGCACTTTTGCAAATTATTTGTATGAAGAGAAATTTTGCTTATTCTAAAGTTTGCGAGACAAAACGAATTATTTAGTTGTTTTCTATTATTAAACTATTTTTGTTTGGACTTCGCGTGACATCAGTAACAGCTATTAAACGTCATCGTCAATAATTCATGCAATCGAAGCCTACGAAAATCACCATAAAATCACTTTAAGTATTTCGCAAGACCGACAGAGAAGAAAGTTCAGCCTTCCTTCGCTTGCTCAAAATCTATCAAAAATGCGTGAAATCGTTCATCTTCAAGCCGGGCAGTGCGGTAACCAGATTGGCGCTAAGGTATGGTGTACACCCTAACATTTAAAATATATCCATTTTTTATCTAAAAAGCCTAGAACTCTCACTGTTCTTCATGGTTTTTCAGTTCTGGGAAGTGATTTCTGATGAGCATGGCATCGACCCAACTGGCACATACCACGGAGATTCTGATCTTCAGTTGGAAAGAATCAATGTATACTACAACGAAGCTACAGGTACTTTAACAGTCAGTCAAATGGTCCGAAGTGTTCCGTTGCGTGCTAAAGTAACGGGCCCTCGGAAGGGGACAAGGAATTCGGTCGCGCCCGAAATGCCCTTCCCCGGCTTCCCTTTTGAAAGCTTGCCACGCAGGCTAAGTCCACGAAAACCAAATTTGCAATCAATTTTCACACTTTTGATCAAAGCATTCAACGGAACGTTATGTTCCGCTTGTAACACCAAGGCTTACTGCTTTTACGTTCATTTAACCTTGCCTGCGTCGAAGAGTTTAGGGTAGTTTTATTTCTGTAGTTCTCTATTTCGATTAAAGGTCATTCCTCTGAAATCGAACCAGCTGCGGTAAGATTTTTGTCAAACTTCACCGACTGATTGTGTATGTTGTAGAAACGTAAAGTTTGAAATAAAATGGGGGGAGCCCCATACTGGTTTAGGAGCAGGAGCGACTTGTCTGTACCCAATAATTCCTTAAAATACAAATATGATTAATATATTCACGAGTACATGTTTTGAATAGTTTTCCGACGATTGTTTCTTTTTCTGCTCTGGGAATTAGTCTACATTTATTCTAGACAAAGAAAGTTACTGTTAATGTTAAAAAGAAACACGTCACCACCCTGCGGAGCTCTAGCCTCAACGAGAAAAGCGCCATGCTTTAATGTGCGCACGCTAATCACGAGTGAAATTGTGCGCCCTAAGGATGCACAAAGCAATACTTAGCACTGAATAACCTTAATGTCTGGTAGCCATTCACCGATTGGCGTTCATTGCACATTATTCTAGGTGGAAAATATGTTCCCAGAGCCTGCCTTATCGATCTGGAGCCAGGCACGATGGATTCAGTGCGATCCGGCCCTTTTGGGCAGATCTTCCGACCTGACAACTTCGTCTACGGTAAGTGCAAATGAATATTAAAATAATGAGCGACACTCAAACATCTGCATCAGAAATTAACACAGAGGATGCCACGTTTCCCTCAGGTCAGAGCGGCGCTGGAAATAACTGGGCAAAAGGACATTATACTGAAGGCGCCGAGTTGGTAGATTCCGTACTCGATGTCGTCCGCAAAGAAACAGAGTGCTGCGATTGCCTTCAAGGCTTTCAGCTCACGCACTCTCTGGGAGGTGGAACCGGCTCTGGAATGGGAACTCTGCTCATTTCGAAGATCAGGGAAGAATATCCCGACAGAATCATGAACACATTCAGCGTTGTACCATCACCTAAAGTATCGGATACCGTTGTTGAGCCTTACAACGCGACACTGTCGGTCCATCAGTTGGTCGAAAACACTGACGAAACATACTGCATCGACAATGAAGCTCTGTATGATATCTGTTTCCGAACTCTAAAGTTCTCAACACCAACTTATGGCGACTTGAACCATCTTGTCTCAGCCACGATGAGTGGTGTTACGACTTGTCTTCGCTTCCCCGGTCAGGTATTGTTGGATTTTTTGAATGAGTAAAAAGAACGAAATTTTGCGATAGAAAAAGATCTTGCCCAGAATACGGACGTGAGCATATAAAGAGCGAAAGAAACGATCGTGAAATAAACAAAAAATCTTAAGATCGTGGGTTTGTAGCAAGAAATATCACAAACTGAATGTAGTACAAAAAAAGGTTTCTTTTCTTTCGGTGGGTGGGGGAGGGGAACCCTGTTAGTGCGAGAAAGAAAACTTACACGGAAAACGTGATGATAATTAAATCTCCAAAATAATCGAGTAATGGATCGATCGCTGATTAAAACAATCTTTACAGAAAAAATAGGAGAAAAAGAAAGCGAGAATTTAATTTCATCTGCGTTGATTTGAACATACATTCAAACAAATTTGTTTTCAGAACTGTTGATCTGATATCCATTTTTAGAGGGATAGCCGTATAAAATGCGATAATCGCCTTCCGGACTTTAGATATTGGACTGATACTGAATTTAAAAGTTACGTGTCAAAATTTTTTGACATTTCGCCCGTGTTTTTCTTTTTAACTTATCTTCGGCCTATTCACTTAATTACATTCATGTTTACGTTTGCAGGCGTATTGCGCATGTGCAGGAGGGTTGACACGCCAAACGACAAGAGAGGATTGCTTTTTAGTTTCAGAGTCACAATATCGAAATCCAAGAAAAAAAACTGTCAATTGAAAACAAAAGATAAGGAGAAAAAAAGGAACAAAAGTGCAATACCGACAACCGTACAAAAATAACTTTTTGACAATCGAAAGTTTTTCCTCATAACGAATGCTCTACATGGTAACGGAAAGGCTGACCTCCTTAGTGTCGCAACTCTGTCCCATTGCCTCTATTGTTGGTTTGCACGTGACGTCACGGCGGCCACGATGGTGGTCAAGAGCAAAATCATTTCTCTCCTCTGGGAACTAAGCTTTGTTTTCATGTAAATTCTTCCACAAAAAATTCTATTGTATTGACCCCCAAAATGGCCGTCCTGTCACGTGGTTGCAAACCACAAATTGTGAAAACAGTATTCAAACACTGAACCATCACACATAATGTGAATCCTCGATATAATGAACCCCTATCTAAAAGGACACCGAAATAACCATTGATTTTCTTCGACACCAATTATGTTATGGTAAAATGTATAGCACAGGACCCTAATAGTAAACTGTATGACACAGGCCCCTTACTTAGCGTACAGGTGAGCGCTTGGTATATCGTTTTCTCGAGTATAAGATCTTGACAATAAGCGCATTCATTGACGTTCGTGCAGGTTTCAGTTCACGTTCTCCTTGAGCAGACAGCCGAGCGTAACTTTCCGAACCACTTTACTGACCTAGCCTACTGGGAGTCATTGATTTTGTTGAACCATACATTTTTTTTTCTAAATTTTTAGCCTTTTTTCAGGCGTTCAAACTGTAGGAAAGGCGCAAAAAGATTTAACAAGGAAAAAAAGCAAGGGGGTGAGCGCCTGGAATAGGCTATGAAATTTTTGTAGAAATACAAAGTATAACATTGTGGTCGTCATAGGTGTTAGTCGCTGGTTTCTATTAAGACACGCCGTTTCCCCATCCTTTTTATAGCTGAATGCTGATCTCAGGAAACTGGCCGTAAACATGGTTCCTTTCCCTCGTCTTCACTTCTTCATGCCTGGATTTGCACCCCTCACCAGCAGAGGATCCCAGCAATACCAATCACTATCAGTACCTGAACTAACCCAGCAGATGTTTGATGTCAAGAACATGATGGCTGCATGTGATCCAAGGCACGGTCGTTATCTGACGGTGGCAGCCATGTTTCGTGGCCGTATGTCCATGAAGGAAGTGGATGAACAGATGCTGAATGTTCAAAACAAGAACAGCTCCTACTTCGTGGAATGGATCCCCAACAACGTCAAGACCGCGGTCTGCGACATCCCTCCTCGTGGACTGAAGATGTCTGGTACTTTCGTTGGTAATAGCACCGCTATACAGGAACTGTTCAAAAGAATCGGAGAGCAGTTTACTGCTATGTTTAGGCGCAAAGCGTTCTTGCATTGGTACACTGGCGAAGGCATGGATGAAATGGAATTCACTGAGGTAAAAAAAGGTTTAACTGTATGGACAAGAGGTCAGGAACGAATATCTTCATATAGTATAATACTCTTCAAGGCAGTGCAAACATCTCAGTTTCCGTTTTCAGGGTCTCTTTATGATCATTTCGGCCTACGATAACTTAAGCCTGGCTCTCAATAAATAATGCCCCTGAAGTACCTGCGACATAGCAACCGGTGCTGCCTGCGGTACTACTCCGACATATGAAGACATAAAGGCCACCGGCAACAAGAAACATCGCAGTTCTTTACCACCGGCATGCCTGCGAAGTTGACTTGAAGTTTGGAAGGCCTACTTTGTAGGTCTTAAAGAAAAATAGCTTCAAAGAAGACATTCCTTGTTATAAAAGTGATTAGTTTCACTGATTTTTTTTTTCACAGGCCGAATCTAACATGAACGATCTTGTGTCAGAGTACCAGCAATACCAAGACGCTACAGCTGAATTTGATGGCGACTTTGACGAGGAAGAAGAAGAAGAGGGTGAAGCGGCATAAAACTCACCAGAATAAAACAGACAGTAGCTGCTAGCAGGAATAACCTATAACGCCGTTTTATAGTTCATAAATGGGCTAACAAATTAAAAACAAGGGAAAGACAAAAAGCTAACACAGCCGGACAGCACAGAACTGTTAAAGAAGCGTATCATACAAATCATAGCCTGGTGTTTTCATGCAAACTATAGGGTAGAGTGTCGTTAATGCACAAAACGACCCCTGAAAAACAAGAGTCACTAATACACAACAGAGTAGTACCTATATCTACCAGTGTGTCTAAGATCAGGGAGTTCTAGCAGGCCCATGGCCACAAGGACTGCAGAACGTTTCTCAAATTTTGTTGGTGTTTATAAATATCAATCTTGTCAATAAATGTAGCGTATTAGTATATATATCACAGCTTGTAAGGTATCCTACAATTCAGCCTTCCGGCTACAAAAGGGACAATAAACCAGTGATTTGATTTGATTTGATTTAAGCGAAAGTCATAAACTCATTTACCAACGTGCAAGCCAACCATAACAATACTTTTGGGCAGTAACGCCAGCCATGACTTGTCCAAGCTTCAGTCTACTTCCTCCCCAATACAAGTAAAAGACAATAAATATTAAAACCTGCTTTTAAGTACTAGAAGTGTAGTAACGTCTAACAAAACCGGGCCAACAGCTCCGCTGCATTCTTAAGCACAGCCGAGGAAGGGTGTTTTTTGCACATTAAACTACTAAATACTAGAGACACGTCAACAAAAACTCGAGCCGCCAAGTCATGGCATCTGACGTTAAAAAAAGCCTGCAGTGCAAACAGCAGTATAGTTTTCAAAGTAATCTATTTCGTAGTGAGCTTCACTGTAATGACGGAAAAAACCGAGTAAAAACAAATCCTGCTTACTTTTTTTTACGATATTAAACAAGCTTGATGTTCTGGGCCATTAAAATCAACACTTACAAACGGGTTTGTCAAACTTTCCCTCTTTGTCCCTGGTAACTTGAGTTGTTTTACTGCTGAAAATTTCCTCCACATCGCTTAGCTCACTACTTTACCCTCAAACATCTATCGCAAACTTGAGTACACATGGTTAGTCTACTCTGTTAAAACTCCTGTTCTAGGGTACGTATTCAATACCTCCAGGTGACCGCAACTTGGCCTCAAAATACTACAAAGAAGCAGATACCGTATTTATTCGAGTAAACGTCGCAGCGTTTATTCGATCAAGTGAAGGGCGGTTTTGTTTTACATGTAAGGCTCTGTTATTCCACAGTTACTCAGCTGCAGATTTACTGCACAAACCGGGCATGTTTCCCTGTAGGCAACCCACCTGTCATATCTAACAATTCCTTGTTCTCACATTAATCATTTAACCTCCATTCCTACACCAGGAAACACTTAATTATTAAGAGTGCATGCTGAGACAGGCGTGTAGGGAATGTTGCCCTGTTCACATACCACACATACCCTCTATTTTCTCTTCAGAGATCGTCAAGCGCACATATCAAAACTAAATCGTGGGGGATAAGATATTGACCGCTAAAGCAAGAGGATTCTTGGCTTCATAATATTTCTTTACCATTTAGATTTTGACTCTTCTAAACAACTCCTAGATTAAACTATGGTTTGCAGGACTTATATTCAAGGTGCAATTTCCTGAAAAAGGCTTGATATACAGGTGAAGGATACTAGTACTATTACTACTACTACTAATAATAATAATGGTTTGATGTTTAAGCGCTTAGCACTTAAAAGCATGAGCGTTATATAAATATTATTATTATTATTTTTATTATTTTATTATTATTATTATTATTATTATTATTTATTATAATGTTGACCAGCATATCCACACAAGTGTCTCTTCATCTGACAAATCCACTAGCTATGGTTATAAAAGTATTTATTTAAGCAAGGATACTTTGCAGCTTCAAGTTTCCCAAATTCTCTCTCCAGTTGTTTCTTGAGCCTCTTTAAATTTTTGGCCATGAGATTCTTTCGAGTCAACTAAAAAATATCAAAGAGAAAGCAATGGATCAAAAATACAGCCAACGTATGTCCACTAGCAACCCTGCCTAAACAAACTTGGCCAGTGAAGCAAGAATTATGAGGCCCAAAAAATACACAAAATTTGTCTTTGTTTATTTTGTTCTTGGTGATTTTGTGGTACCTAAAACATTTGCTGGAAAACCTTCTACCTCTAAAAAACACTTTACAAGCTATATAGGTGGTTTTAAAGAAAATGTTTCCAAATAGAAAAAAAAAATGGAAAATTATGTTCATTTTTAACACAGCAATTTAAACTCCAAGATTTGCCTCGAAATTTATTATACATCTTTGTGCAATAATATTAGTAAATAATTTTGAGTATGATGATAAAGAATTATGCAGACTAAGGAGGGTGGTATCAGATGGGGTGGATAACAGTTCCCAAGACAGTATTGAAAACAATGGATGGGCAGTTGAGGCAAGAATGGGTTGATAGAGGTTTTGCCATTGATCAGTAATTTTTTAGTGACAATTACTTTTTGTCTACCAGGACTCCCATAACTGGCCAGTAAATAGAGGGTGGACTGGCGCAATACCTAGAGGATGTCCTGTATTATTGGTGTGCAACAAATGAGTTTAAGAACCTCTATTAAAAAGAAAAAGAGCAAAAACTTACACAATTGAAAATAATAAAAAAAAACTGGATGGTAGTAATATTGTCTCTCAATATTGAAAAATCCTGCTCAGTGTCCATTATGATCAAGTTAGAACAATATTTTGGGACCAAGTCTGTAAGCCAATACTTGAAGGGATTCAATCGTTGTCCACATCAATGAAGTACTACAAGGTAAGAGTTGCCTGTACTAGTTGCTTCTTGTCAGTATAACCATGGATGGCAGGTGGCAAAGATGCAATGTTAGAGAGAATGTAGAGCTAAGTTTTTTTTATATAATGTAACAGGGAAGCAGTGTATTATCTTAATACCTCATAATGATTCCTAAAATGACAGATCTTGACATGCTCTTCCATATATGTGTGGTCAAAATTCTCTCTCATCCATCCCACATCACACCAGTAAAAATCCCACTCTCCTTCACTGTTAGGGAGAAGATTTAAAAGTTAAATAAGGAGCTAATTACAGTGGAACCTGAACATAACAAAACCTCTATATAACAAAGTCTTGGTATAACAAATGATTTTCTTTGCCATAGTAATAGTAAAACTCATGGAAAAGAAGGTCCTCGATATAAGGAAACCTCATTATAGTGAACAAATTTTGCCAGTTCCTTGGCCCCTCGTTATATCAAGTTCCACTGTACCAAATCAGGAGCCCACCATTAAATTGTTGTTCAAAAAAAGGGAAAGGAGAAGGCGAGCTAGCTCAGCTGTTTTGGCTAGCCTGCAAAAACAGCTGTGTCTCCTTGCTCTTCGCCACTGGGGATGTTTCGAGAGGAGGAACGTCTGCGACTTAGCGACAGAAATTCCATACTGATGACGTAAATCAATGTTTACATAATAAATCCGGTAGTCATGGGGTTCTAAATGCAGATTTTTTTTGTTGTTCAATTTTGCGTTTCTCCTGATCGATTTTGGTAAAGTGTTGTGTTCATCTGCGAACGAGCTCCAGCAAACCTCAAATATTTCTTCTAGGAAAGAACATATTCCACAAATATTGACTGTTTTGTTATAGATTCATCGTGTTTACTTTTGACCTTTGTGGCCTTTTGTCTTTTGTCTGCCTTTCATAAACAATAGCTGAAACAATGTAACTACTCCATCGTCCAATCAGTGCTTCTGAACTGATTCCGGACAGATTTTGCGTCACCAGTATGGAATTTCTGTTGCTGAGTCCCAGACGTTCCTCCTAGTGAAATCTCCCCCAGCAGAGATGAGCGAGGAGAAACATCTGTTTTTGCAGGCTACTGTTTTGGCATGACTGGAGAAAATAATATTGTGGATAGCAAGGGAAATGAGTCACATGTTGGACCAAATGGTCGACTTCTTTGGCTCATTTCTACAAATGTCAATCAAAATAACTGAGTTCGTCATATACAATGTATGTTACCCTAAAAGCTACCAAAACCCTGCACCGTTGCTATGGTAACAAATGCCTGATAACAAAACCTACCTAACCTTTCTAAACAAAGCAGTTTTAAGTACTAAGAACCTTCAGTTTTAAAAGTAATGAAATATTAATACAATACTGTAGCGAAAAAATTTGAGCTTATTATATTTTCTGTGACAAACTGAAAAGTGCTAAACTTACTCTCTGATTTCCGTCCACCCCTTGGAACGAAGGACGTCTATAATGGTATTCTGAAGTGAACATTTGAATCTGATAACACGGCTGTTGTCACTTGAAATACAAAAAGCATGTAAATAAAGTTAATCATTTGCAAAAGGCTGATGTCAGGAAAACGATTTTCCTATTCTTGTTAAGCTCGAGCTTTGCCTCCATATGGCACAATTGAAAATATTTATATTCCTTGATTTTATTGATACTTACAAGGGCTTTCTCTGAATCGGTTTCCAATTAAAAGGTGTTTGCTGTAATAGAGTATTAAAAAGCAATTTAAACAAAATAAAACAAAGAAAATAATGTTTCAAAACTATTTCTTCTCGTGTTTCTACCTTTTCTCGTTTTGCCGCCATGTTGAGCCCAAATAAATCCCACGATGCATCAGTCTTCCGCAGTTGTTCCCAGGCTCTGTTCAGCTACACCTTGTCAGCCATGTATGCATAAATTTGGACTTTCTCGAAATGGTAACTTTAAAACCTTTATAACCTTGTAAATATCAATATGTATCGTTGTTGACAAAAAGGAATAAGTTATAGTTATTAGGAGGGAAGATGCATCGAGCGTACCACACTCCTGGAGGCAGCATAAGGGAAATTAAACTCTGTCTACTCGGGGTAAGATGCGATCTACAATTAAAAATATTTATCAGTGAAAGTTGATGTGATCAGAGGAGATTCGTTTCCTTGTTCCGAATATTAACAGAGGTCGTTTTGAAGTAATTATTTATTTTTACCACTTTTTCAAGGATGCTGGTGTGGGCAAGTCTTGTTTGGTTCATCGGTTTGTCTCCGATTCATTTAATGCCTCCTCTCCGCCCACTATCGGGTCAGTAAAATTTGTTTCTATGAAATATTTAAGCTTTAATATCAGGTCCTAAAGATTTGATCACTATTTTTATAAAAACTATAAAATTACTTTATTCCGTTTCGTAGCTTGTTAGTTTAGCTCTTTAAAAATAATTTAGTTAGATACAGTAGTGGTTGAATTTACAGATCTCAGTATATTTAGTAACCTGGTGTCTTAAAATTAATATAATGAGTTCATTTTGAGGTACAGTAAATTTTACTTCCTTTATTAAATGGACATCGAAGGAACAGATTCAGGTCTCTGCAGTACAGAGGTGTCCGTAAAATAGAGAAATGAACTACATACCGTGTATAATTTGTGTCTTAACAGTCACGCCAGGTCAAGCGTACCCCAATAGATACTATTAATGAAAAAGGAATCCTTTAGTCATTGTTGCAACCAGTGTCAACTTCAAATTTGCATTCTTGCGTGCATAATAAGCAGTGGACTTTTTACACTTACCTCTCTGTATTTGGTCAGATTGAAAATCTTTGAATGGATAAAATTGCTTTGAAGATGTAAAAATCAAATTCAAGGAAACTGAGCTGGTAGAAAGTTTAACAACTACCTGGTGTATGAATTCACCACTCTTTATGCATACAAGAATGCAGAGATGAATCTGAAATCCACAACTCTTGTCTAAATACCCATCTAAACGCCCATGCGAAAAGGAAAACCACAAACAAATGTTGCCATCACATGCTCCCTAGTGGCCGCATTGCCTCAAAGGAAAGGAGTTTCAAGAACCACCAACCCGGCTAGTAACACTCGACTGGACAGCAGACAATTGGATAGAAACATTAGGGCTAGTTTTACGTTTCTTATCTTGCAACACTTTAATTCGAGAAGTGACGCATTTCTTGGCCTTTTTAATTTTTGAGGCATGAGCCTTGTTATCAACCAAATTGTCACCCAGGTACTCTTCAGCACTGTTGCCCAATCGAATTCCGACTGATCTGCTAGGTTAAAGATCTTTTGCCTTAAATACCTAACGCCACTCTTTAAATACTCTACCAAGTCCCTTGATACTAAATACCAACAAGAGAATATTTTCTCACTAATTTATTCAAAAATGTGGAAAAATGGAACTACCAACAGATTCAACTTTCTAATAATAAATTCATTAATGTAATCTTGTGGTTTTGCTTGACCTGGTTTGACTGTAGCACTATGTGGTTGTGTACATAAGCATAAATCTCACAATACATTGAAGTTTGGGTGACATAACTGCAGATGAGATAACTTTCAGGCGAGTTGACCAGAACTGTTTGTGAAAGAGAGTTATCCAGATACATGTTTTACTGCACACAGCACACAATAACAGCGCTCAAAGCTCAACATTTTTCAAAGCCACCATTTGGCAACCTGAAATTATAGAATAGTCACTAGGCATAGAATAATTATTGTAGGCCTAAACAAAAGAAAAACAACACTAAAAATGTGCAACACTACAAGAATGGTTTCAAACCTTAAATTTGTTAAGTCAACTCCTTCTAAGACGGACACCTTTGGGAACATCACTATGTGTCCATCTCCATCGTTTGAATCAACTTAAAGGAATATAGAAAGCTAGGGACCAACTCTGGGTGTTCAGATCTTACAGAGGTGTCTGTTAAATGAGAGTTTGCTGTATTCACAGGGTTGTCAATAAGAGCCGGCGGCTTGCAAAGTTCACCGGCTATTTCACATGAACTCACCGCCCACTTTTCTTTGAAAATCACTCCAGTTTTAACAAATGACATGATTTAAAACGGATACCGAAATAAGCAATGGTTCATAGCTATTGGCAAGAAGTAATCAATGAATAAAGAAAACTATTCATGTGCTGATCCTGAATAAAAAAGCCAAAATTTAATAATGATGTCTGTGTTCTGTTCAAAAACTCTAATTTTTTCTCCAGAATGCTGGAAATGCATTCTAAGAGGCCCAGATTTCAAAATTTTCCAGGGGGCATGCCTCTGAACTCCCCTGGAGGCTTGAGCCTTCTGTGCTCGCTAGTTGCACCTTTGGTGCGAGTTTTTCCATGTGAATGATCTCTGCCTACTCCTAAGCTTTTGCCACCTTCTTAAAAACTTATTGAGAACCCTGATTCACATATAGTTTATTGTGAATTTTTGTAACTTCTGAGATGATGTACAAAATTCAGTGTGATTGGCTAAGGGTCTGCTCAATCATATAGGAGACTCAAAAAATGTTTCTGAACTGTGAATTGTGATAATGATTTCTATCAATACGAGTATACAATCCTCCCGAGTGGTACACCACGAAATCTCCCTGGGGACTCACATATAAAAATGAGACGTGTTCTTGTTTGCCCAGTCTACCAAATCATTACTTTTCTTGGATTTTCATTTGTAGAGCTGCCTTTATGACAAAAATGATGATTGTTGGTGACCAGGCTTTTAAGTTCAATATATGGGATACAGCAGGGCAAGAAAGGGTAAGCTCATTCAAATTAGAGTCTGCAGAATATTTGCTTTTTTAACAAGAATTTATTTACAAGTTAGATTGCAATACAACTGTATACGTTTCATTCATTTGATGCAGTTCAAGAGTCTAGCCCCACTCTACTATCGAGATGCAGCAGCAGCCATTTTAGTCTACGATATAACAAGTGATGTAAGTTTTACTTGATTTATAATAAAAACCTTGATAAATGTTAGGGTCTCCTTTATGCACATAAAGGTAGCAGTAATGCTTGTACTTCTGAGACATGTAGAAGTATGATAGAAGGTGTGATCATGTTTTGTCAAGAAATCAATAATTTATTCAGCCTGTCACAAAGTAGCCTGCAATCATCCCCTCCCTACATTTCTATTGTATCTTTTGCGTCGATCCTTTGTAATGATACATGTACATGTTGTGGTTCAATTTTATCCTTGGTTTAAATTTTTTTTCCTTTGTTTTGAAGTATGGTAATCTGTGTTAATGAGTTTGAAACAAAGGAAAATAAAATTTAAACCAAGGATAAAATTGAACTACAACATACACACAATCAATTTCTAGATTACATTTGTCTCATATTCGTTCTCGTTTTAGAGTTCATTCCATGCTTTAAAAAACTGGATAAGGGAGTTACAAAGATACGGTCCATCTGATATTCTTATCGCCATTGCTGGAAACAAGTGTGATAAAACTGACCAAAGGGAGGTAAGCTGCAGGTGCTTTGCCTTGCTGCCCAGGGTTGTCACTAACCCAGGGGGGTACTCAGGATTTCAAGTAATAGGGATGATCAAAGGGTTTTTTTGGGTTTGAAATTTTCGATTTCAGGATTTTTTGGGGTATTCAATAGAATCTGAAGATATGTGATAGTTCCCACGTATCCCAGCCACGTAGTTCGGTGAATAAATTTGATATGGCTCAGAGATTCAGCATGGGATCTTTTTGGGGTTAAATTTTGGTCCAGGGAATTTTTTGGGTTTTGTTTGAAGCCCTAGGGATTTTTGGGGGTTTTGATTTTTGTCCCCATTCGATCATCCCTGTCACTTGAAATCCGGAGTACCTCCCTGGGGTCTCTAAGGGCTAAAAACCATGGATTCCCCTCAGCTGCTATAAGCATGACCCTGCCCCTGCCAATTTTCATAGGAAATAAACCTAAAGAACTTCCTAGCTTTGTGATAAGGCATTTCTGAGTTGGGTGAGTGTGAATCCATTGATATGAAAATGAGTTTTTTTTTTCTCATGCAAAAAAACTCATTTTCACTGTAAAGGTTTTGTACTAAGCCTTCTTTTAAAAGTGAGAGTTTTTTAACCCAGAAATGGCCTTTTTGCCCATCTACTCATTGCATCTACCCAGGAAGTTATTTAATCAAAGGCATGTTCTCCAGAGAGGACTGCAGGAAAAAGTGGGAAGGGCAGGAATTGTTACCTAAGGAAAATGAGACAAACTTGCACTCAGGCCCTTATAAAAAAAACCTGGATGCACCCCTGATTCACATGGCTAGATTCAGTTCTCTGCAATGGGTGGAGGGAGCACTAAGGAAAACTCTGCTTGAAACATCACCCAGTTGGTGATATCGACCAGGGCATCTTCTTGGTCTGTATGGGTGGTCCATGGACCATTTTATTAGGTGGTTCACAGGTCTACTGGGTCCATTGGAATTAAAAAAGGAAATCACCCTGTGGTTTCTGTGATGGACAGGACCTTCAGTTGTTTTGTAATTCTTTCCCTAAGGTTTTAGTACAGAAGTTGAGTAAACAGTAAGTGAAAACTCTGTTCTTGTTTCTCAGGTTTTAGAAGACGTAGCTGAGGAGTTTGCAAGTAGTGTAGAGGCAATATTTGTTGAGACAAGTGCCAGAACAAACAAAAATGTTCATTGGCTATTTGAAGAGTTGTGTAAGTACTCGCTGTAAATAATTTAAAATCCATTGTCAACATTCTAGTTTATGTTTTAAGAGGTTTTATTTGCATTTTAATAATTTTCTTGCATTTTTGCTTGAAAACTCTTCTGCCAAAGTAATATAGAAGTTAATCATACTCATCAGCTGAATCTACTTAATTTTTGTAATGAATCATTTTGTCAGTCTTGGTGAAAGGAAAGTCAAAGAGAGGGGAACATTTGGTACAAATACAGGGTACACTTTTGGAAATGACTTTCTTGTCACAAATAACAGGGCAGCTATGAGAAACAGTTGGTGTAGTTTACCGTAACTAAATAATTTAAATAAACTTCAATCCAATAACAATCCAAATCTTTATAAGATGACGATGTATAATTAAAGCTTTGAAATTGAAATTATCTTTAATATCTGTAGCTCGTCGACTTCCTCAAGAAAATGCAGATACTCCAACAGGGAGGCAAAGTCTTGTGCGACCCAAACCAGCAGAGGAACATCCAAAAAGATCTTGTTGTTCAGAAAAGCAACCAACTCCAAATTACTGAACATGACGGGAGGATTCAGCTTTGTACTACGATCTGTCCATGGTCTGTTTCAGAATGTGTTTTGTACAAGAAATTGGTCCTTTTTTTCTGAGCAATAATATGGATTAACATCATTGAACATGTAGCTTCTGATTTTGAAAGGACCGATACTTAGGCGTGGTGTCACTTGGTCTGTAATCATTGGCTACGGTTCCTCGAAAGATGGTTTAGTCTAACCTAGGACAAAGTGAAATTTTAAAGTAATTTTTCTCATCAAGTGATAAGTGAATTGAGCTGAATTGCCGAGTCTTTACTCAGAGACCCAACTGTGTTCACCAAAAATTACAGCAGCCCTAAGAAGTCTGTAAGAAAGTAAATCCAAGCGGAGGTCAACATTTTAACACTGGGCAAAGCTAACAAGCTTCAAGGTCGGCCGGGGGGGGGCGGGGGTAGTGATATACCAGTATACGCGAAAAAATTCGCCAAAATACCCCAAAATACCCAAAATTCATCCAAATATACCCAAAATTATACCCAGGTATACTTTATACCTGAAATTCAAAGAAAGTGATATACCGAATACCCGTATTTAAGCTGCAATATACCGTATACCCAATTTAAAAAGCCCCGGTATACCGTATACCCAAAATCCTGGCCGACCCTGAAGCTTCGAGGGCCGTGATTTTGGGTGGCTGTTTGTTTTAAAAGTCAGTTTTAAGTGCATTAGGTGAATGTTCGTCATTTATATAATTGATTTGCTGGTAGACCAGCTGACAAAACGTCTTGCAAAGGTAACTGGGTTGTTTGAAAATGAAGATAACCGGATACATTAAAAGTTAGGTTGTAGAGAGGAGGTAGATTATTTGAGAGCACTACCAGTAAGTACAACAGTTGTCTCACTAAGATAAAGATTATATTTTTTCCATTAAAAAAATAAATTAGTCTTCATTCATTGTAATTGTCAGGAAAATCCTTATCTCAAGAAGGCGCAAAACCTTTGCTTCAAGTAATCAGTTCTAAAGTGTCCATCTGTTTGTTATAGTGCTATTTTGCTGTAAGCAGATGTGAAATGTACCGTGAAGCATTCGACGGGCAAGTACTTTTAAGAAAATATTGATGTATTATAACTATTTTTCTAGTTCAATCAGGATGTTACATTGGACAGCAGTATGAAAAATTAGTATTAAATTATTACTTTTACCTTACACCAGGGATCAAGGGTGAGAACAAAACTAAAAATACAAAGAAAATTCCAAATTTTATTTTTAAGACACCTCAACACTGTCTAAGACGGGCAGAACGCATTAGGACCTGCACTAAAAAGTCCGTCTTAGAGAGGTGCCTTGCCTTGTCCCTTCGGGTCACGTGGTCCAAGCGAGTTCCCGACCGTTCGTCTCGGATACGGCAAAAAACGTCACCGAAATGCATTGACCGAGAAGGCCTGGGAGACGCTGCACTCCTAGGGTTATGCAAGAGATGTGCCCATTTATTAAATACTTAAGAACGTAAGGAAGCAGCAGTTCACTGTAAATCCAAAAGAATGGTGAAAGAAATATTTAAATGACCAAGCTCTAGCATCGCATGAAAGTACGATTGAAGAGGTGTTATTTGAATAGTCACATGACAGGATCCAATCTTCAGATTCAACTAGTTTTTACAGCCTGATAAATAATTGGCGACGCTTCATTTGAATGGTTACCCTATAGTGTTTTATGACCAGACTCAAATATTTAGAACTTCGTTACATTTTTTTAAATAATTGACTCTAGAAAAGTGGAGACTTTAAAAAAAAGAACGGCTATGGTCATAATTTTGTTTACTCGGGTACATGAATTTTCTTTCTTTTTTTTCAGTACCCCGTTGACCAGTAGATAACCAAACCTTAGAACTCTCTGAAAATGCATTGACCGAGAAGGCGTTCCTCTCACGCGAGGAGAACACGCGTGACGAAGCCCCAGGAGCGTCTGCGTAGGAGGTTGGCGAATTTGCCATTTTCCAAAAACTCTCACTTTCAAAACGAGGCTAAGTGTGAAAGATGTTTTTTTGTATGAACATCATTTTCATATCAATGGCTTCGCAATTAGCCTCGCTTTGAAACAGAGGCTTAGGGCAACTAGTAAATAGTCTATTGGCTGTTAAAACAGAGTTCGTTTGTATTGCGTTTAGCGTATTTGAAAAAAAGAAGGGATTTTTTTTAAACATTCAAATACCTTTCCTCTTTTAACTGTGATATTTAACAATTTCCACGCATCATTGTAAGGTTTATCACAAGGCAAATAGAAAACGTTTAAAACATGTTAAGTTTACTTTAAATGAGACAACAAATTAGTTTTATATTTTTTCATATCATAATAAAGATGCAATAGACTGTCCTGCTCGTTTGTCCAATATGTTATGTACTAGAATGCAAACGTTCTTATGCACACAGAGATTATCCAGAGGATTTCCAACCTACATTACTCTCTTTCTCCTCCGTGTTCGTTTCTAGACCGCCCGCGGTCGTCCTTCCTTCGTCAGAGCCACACGCAGCGAGCGAAAAAGTGAAATTATGGAAATTAATGGTAAAAAGGAGGAGAGATTTGAGCTTCGCAATTTGCCCCTTGCACGCGTTTGATCTACGTACTGTAACTCAAAAGAGAAATAAGAGACAGTTCGCAGTCTAATAGGCCATTTCAGATTTCAAACCCCCTCACTTTTAAAACGAGGCTAAGTGCTAAACCCTTCTTGTAATAATGAGCTTCATCTGAGAATAAAGAATTATTTTCATATCCATGGCTTCGCATTTAGCCTCGCTTTGAAACAGAGGCTTGAGGCAACTCGGAAATAGGACAACTTCACCTTGTGAGCCTGCACTTACTTAGCGCAGCGGTAATCCAACCTCTGTTCCAGGACTGCCTTCCTGTTACCCAAAATGCTCTGCGGGTGACATGAGAAGTATGCTCCTATCTATCGATCTTTTTCGGACGCACCGGCACTGATTTTACAAGTCTGTCCCATTTCCGTCTGTTGGTCATGATATGCAAAATCCTGCCTCGAAAGACCGGTATCACCCTCTAGTTGCTCAATAAATGTAGTTGCTGGGCTCCCCCTTGAGTATGCTCCTATATGGCCAAAAACTTTTAAAACGCAATATGTCGTCAACTGAAAAGTGAGAAACACGTTTCATTGAAAGACAGGAAATCTAAAATTTCCTGAAGATTTTTAAGCCAGAAAAATGGATGATATTAAGGCGCAGGCGCGTGAAAACAGTTCGGTGTTGCGTCGAATTGCACCGTGGGACTGTTTCGGAGAACCAATTCGGATCCAGTTTCCTGTGTAACAGTTGACGACAGGAAAGCAAGCGGAAAGGACTAAAGTTGTTTGATTTGCGCGCGCCGTCGTCAACTAACGCTCCCGTTCTGTTGCTAAATCAGCCTAATAGCCAATAAATGAAGCGATAGCATCCACAAAACAGTCCATGGTGCAACTCGACACAACACCGACCCGATCTCACCTGCAAGCACCCAAAATGTCCAGTATTCCGAGGTGAATTTCTACGGCCTTGTGGCGCAGAGAAACATAATGATGACGATAAATTAATACTTCACATCCCGGAAAAAAAAGGAAAGAAAAACACAATTAAAAAAAAAAACAGATACCCTGGAAAAAAGCCGGGAGAATGTCGAGAGGAGGTTGAAGCACAATTATGGAAATTAAAGTTTAGAACTAGTATAGGCAGCTTTTTAGGGGGAGGAATCTCATTTCTTTGAGGAGGTAACATTAGCGCCGAAGACGTCATCAGTGAACGGGAACTGGAACAACAGGCCTTTTTACAACTGCGTGCTCAATGCCTGGGCTTTAAACAGAGGCGACGCTGAAGGTGGCCTTGTTATGCTACAAACCTTTCTGCTTTTCAAATGCAACAAGTAATATTCTCATAACACCAACCACATGTGACAGTGACCATTTACATGTGAGAAACTGGACGGTTTGTAACAAAACAGGGTCACTTCCAGGCTCGCTTCTGTTCAAAGGTCAGGGCACTCAGCACACAACTGTAACATGGCCTACCGTAAATGACCTAATAGACCTTTCCCGCATTCCTGTAAACAAAGGCACCAACTCGAGGCTCGGCTGGACAAAATACAGTGATTTGTATGAAATTGTCCACCCGAGCCTCGTCCTCATTTCTTTGTTTTTGCTCACTGGAGCGTAACGCGGGAAAGGTCTATAAACGCCCGGGGCGTCTATTTATTTAATTCCAGTGGTCCAAGTGGGGACGTTTGATAGACAGGAGACGTTTATTCTCATAACTGTAACAAGCTCAACAAAACTAATATACGTTGGGCAAAAATGTCAACAGAGTTTAAAAAACTGTGGAGTATCCACTCCATCAGTTTATACGTCTAGGCCATCTAGAGATCCATATCGCTCTTTCAAATCCCAACATCGATGTCAAAATCCTCGCCCAGAGCTATTGTGGTGTCATCGTTAGTCTACCCTTACTTTGAACTTAACATTGATCAAGATGCAATACGCAAAGCCTTGTTAATCAAGCAAAACACTGAAAGAATTGAATGATTTTGCTCCTTTTTGCTAATTCCTAGGGGCGTCTACCATGAATACTTTTCTTAGCGTTTGGTCAACCAATCGGTTGACACCATCAATCAAAGACCTGTCAAACCGATTAAACCACTTAAAAGTAGTACATGACCTGATTACATGACCTTATCTTAGGGTGCGTTCCTTTGGGATGATCCGGATCAGGATCAGTGATTCGCGATCACTCGGATCATGGCAGGAAAAATGAGCCGATGAATCCACTCTGGACAAGGATTTATCGGTTCATCTATGATCTTGGATCACTGATCCTGATCCGGATCATCCCAAAGGAACGCACCCTTAATGAGACCACCGCATTTTGTTTATGAGATAAAGACAAGATAGCTATGACGGTGCGTCCTATACTACTAAGGGTCAGTGTCCACAAAGACAACGTTAAAGAATCGAAAGGCGTAGGGTGGCATCATGGAAAGAAGTCA